AGAGGGTTTATATATATTTATGTGTGCATATGTGTGTATATTTATGTGTGTGTATATATACACACATAAATGTATATAGTTATGTACCACATAAATGACATTTCAGTCATTGATGGATTGCACATATGATGTGGTCCTATAAGATTACAATATTGTATATCATTTCTACACTTAGATATTATTTAGTTTTGTGATACTTACTGTTGTATTACAACTGCCTACAGTATACAGTACAGTAACATGCTATACAAGTTTGTAGCCTAGGAGGAATAGGCTACACCATACAGCCTAGGTGTGTGGTAGTCTATAACATCTAGGTTTGTATAAGTATACTGTAACACAAACCAACGAAATCATCTAATGACACATTTCTCAGACTGTATCCCCATTAAGTGATCCATGACTGTGCGTGTGTGTGTAATCAGTCAATAGTAATGATACGTATATATACATGCATTATTCCTGTGTATAATTTATTGTACACATATAGAACATTGTTAAATGGTTTAGCACAGGTTTTGAGTGCTATCTTATGCTTTTTTCTCATTCTACTGTACTCCTCTTCATGTATTATATGTTTTTTTCACTCATGTGGTTCTTCTTTCTGCCATTTATATTTTATATTCTGGCAGAGAGTTTGACAAGCCATGACAATTAAAGATGTCAACGATAATGCTGTATTTATCCCAAAGAAACAAAGGGGAAAATTAAACTTGACCGTCCAAATTTGACTTTTATGCTTGCTTAATACATCTTTGATGAAATAACCAGGGAAGCAGAAAATAAAATTCATTTAGAGATTGGTATAAATTCTTTGACAGTAAAGGGAATTATAAATTTAACTCTGGGCTATGAAGAATGATAAAAAATTATGAGAATGATAACTGGAACAAACTGTGGTCAATGGCATATAACGACTACCAGAGAATTGAAAAGACGTGAAGAACAAGTGCCAATTTAAAATTCCACATGGATCAGCGTGCAGACTGTCATCATTCACCATTTCCAGTGCACTCCCCTCCTCAAGAGGCAAGCAGGAAAGTTATACTCTTTCTCATTCGATCCCATCAGTGGTGCCCATTCACCAAAGGGTCAAAGTCAAGCATGAACTCTTAACACTTAGCAGGGTATCTTCCCATTCTCCCAGGCATTCTTTGCTCCAACAGTTCCAAACACTACCAGCCATAAACTAATGTGCTATAATATATCGTCCTTACTTATTCTCATAATTAATTCTTTTCCAACTTTTATTTTAGATTCAAGGAGGTACATATCCATTTGTTACATGGATATATTGCGTGATGCTGAGGTTTGGGATACAAATAATCCCACCACCTGGGTACTCAGCATGGTATCCAATAGCTAGGTTTTCAGCCCTTTCCCCTCTTCCCTCCCTTCTCCAGCAGTCCCCAGTGCCTATTATTATCATCTTTATGTCCGTGAGTACCCAACGTTTAGCTCCCATGTATAATTGAGAACGTGCAGTATTTGATTTTCTCCTTCTGCATTAATTCGCTTAGGATAATGGCCTCTAGGTGATCCATGTTGCTGCAAAGAACACAATTTAATTCTTTCTTGTAGCTGCATGGTATTCCATGGTATGTATGTACCACATTTTATTCATCCATTCCACCATTGATGGGCACCTAGCTTGATTCCACATCATTGCTCTTGTGGATAGTACTATGATGAACATACGAATGCATGTGTCTTCTTGGTAGAATAATTTTTCTTTTGGCTATATATCCAGTAAAGGGATTGTTGGGTCAAATGACAGTTCTAATTTCTTTGAGAAATCTCCAAACTGTTTTCCAGACTGGCTGAACTAATTTACATTCCTACCAACATTGTCTGAGTGTTTCCTTTTCTATGCAGCCTCACCAGTGTTCGTTATTTTTTGACTTTTTAATAATAGCAATTTTGGCTGGTGTGAGATGGTATCTCATTTTCTTTTTTATTTGTAGTCTGATAATTAGTTGTGTTGGGTACTTTTTCACGTTTGTTAACTGCTTGTATATCTTCTTTGGAGAAGCGTCTGCTCATTTGACTTTTTTTGTTTGTTTGTTTTGAGACACAGTCTTGCTCTGTCACCCAGGCAAGAGTGCAGTGGTGCAATCTTGGTTCACTGCAACCTCCTTCTCTGGGTTCAAGTGATTAACCTGCCTCAGCTTCCCAAGTAGCTGGGACTACAGGTGCCTACTACACATGGCTAATTTTTGTATTTTTAATAGAGATGAGGTTTCACCATGCTGGCCAGGATAGCTTTGAACCCCTGACTTCAGGTGATCCACCCGCCTCCGCCTCCCAGAGTGCTAGGATTACAGGCATGAGTCACTGCACCTGGCCTTTTGCCTATTTTTTAATGAGGCTATTTGTTTCTTGCTTGTTCAATTGTTTAAGTTCCTTATAGATTCTGGATATTAGACTTATGTCAGCTGTGTAGTTTGCTCACATTTTCGCCCATTATGTAGGTTGTTGATTTGCTCTGCTAATAGTTTCTTTTTGCTGTACAGAAGCTCTTTAATTTGATACCACTTGCCCATTTTTGTTTTCATTACAATTGCTTTTGAGGACTTAAGTCATAAATTGTTTCCTAGGGCCAATGTCCAGAATGTCATTTCCTAGGTTTTCTTCTAGGATTGTCATAGTTTGAGGTCTTACATTTAAATCTTTAATCCATCTTGAGTTAATTTTTATATATGGTGTAAGGTAGGGGTCCAGTTTTATTCTTCTGCATATGGCTAGCCAGCTATCCCAGCACCATTTATGAAATAGGGAGTCCGTTTCCCCAGGACTCCTGCCTCCAGAATGCGCTCCCTGCCCTGTTTGGTGTAGACCTCTGACTTCTATTGATAAATCTATTGTAACACTAAACACATTGTGATATTGTGATCATTTACAGGTGGTACTCACTTTGTGCAATTTTATGGTAATTGAACTTACCTTTCTCAGATTGTGAACATCTCAATGAAAGTGATTGTGTTTTTTGTTTGAGACAGTGTCTCGTTCTGCTGCCCAGGCTAGAGTGTGGTGGTGCAATCTCAGCTCGCTGCAGCCTGTGCCTCCTAGGTTCAAGCAATCAGTCAATTCTCCTACCTCAGCCTCCTGAGTAACTGGATTACAGGTGCCTGCCACCACACCCAGCTGATTTTTTAATTTTTAGTAGAGGTGGGGTTTCACCATGTCGGGCAGGCTGGTCTCAAATTCTAATCTCAGGTAATCCGTCAGCCTCAGCCTCCCAAAGTGCTGGGATTACAGGCGTGAGCCACCACACCTGGCCATGATTGTGTCTTTTTAACTGCAATCTCAGTGTCTGACACATAATAGCTATAAGTAAAATTACATTGAATTGATGGAGGAAAAACATGTAATGATTAAAAAGTTGAAGTGTCCTTTATGTTCCCTGGGAAAGATAAAGCAATGGAACTTGGGTTGAAAAGGCAAGAAATCCATGAATCACAATCCTGATGGTTAAAATGCTCAATAACTAGACTAAAAAATTCCCTTGTGGTTTTTAGTTGATGACTTTATGATCATTTGGAGATATCAACCATCACTGCAATCCCTGTAGTATGAGAAAGTGTTTCAGAATCTGTAAAATGATGCGTGATTTTAGTGGAGTAGGACAACATTTTGTGGTAATAACTGGTCCTCGGTGTTATTGCTATTCCTTAAGAATTTCATAGTTATTTTTATTCTCCCAGAATCATATCAATAGAAATAAGACTGGGAGTATAAGTCAGCTAAGCCAAGGGAAAGCATTAGAGTATATGACTAAGAGCCCAGATAACACATAGTTCAGATTCCACTTCTACCACTTACTAGATAGGTGACTTCATCTGCTTAATCTTCTTAATCTATACAATGAAGACAACCGAGTCTTAATCATTTGAATTTTGCCTTTAAAACCTCAATTTTTCACCTGCAAAATGAATGTAAATGCATAATACATATTATAAGGACTAATAAAATAACAAGTACAGTAGATTTAGGAGAGTACCTGTATTAGTCCATTTTCACACTATTATGAAGAAATATCTGAGACAGGGTAACTTATAAAGAAAAAGAGATTTCATGCACTCACAGTTTAACATGGCTGGGGAAGACTCACACTCATGGTAGAAGGTGAAGGAGGAACAAAGACACATCTTACATGGAGGCAGGCAGAGAGAGCCTGAGCAGGGGAACTGCCCTTTATAAAATCATTGGATCTTATGAGACTTATTCATTATCACAAGTGCAGTGTGGGAAAAGCCCGCCCTTTGATTCAATTATCTCCCACTGGGTCCCTCCCACAACACACGGGGATTATGGGAGCTACAATTCAGGATGAGATTTGGGTGGGGACACAACCAAACCCTATCAATACCTAAAACTTAATAAGCAGTTCAACTGATATTATTTTATTGGTTATAAGTATGATTTTTGGACATGCCCAATTTAGCCTTACTACCACCAGTGACAGATCCTAAAATTGTATCATTTGGGTCTTGAATCCTTTTTCCACACTCCTGTTGTCAGTTATGATACAAATGCCCCCAGGGATTTAAAAATTCCTGTGCTTATATTGTCAGACATTCTTATTTCAGGATAGTTAAAGCTTCCTGAGAGTACCCTTTTGTGAGAATAGAACATAAAGAAAAAGAGAATGCTATATAGTAATTAGGTTGAATTAGGAATTGCTTTACATAACCACATTATGTATGTGGGGGAAAAATAACATTAATAACTTTTTCCTACAATTATACATATGTAAAATATATTTAAACATATATATTTATATATTGTATCCATATATCTATAATGTAAATCAATGTCTGGCATATTTTTCAAGACTCATTAATGCCATTGCCTGTTTCCTTGTAGCTTATCTGGCTATAGTAATATGTTAGAAATGTACTACTTTGGAGTGGGGAATATGGAGAAGGAGAGCGAAACAATAGTTCAGATCAAGGAATCTTAGAGCCAGGAGGCAGCCAGCACTTCCTCCTGCTGTCCTATTGTTGCAGGACCACAGCTTCAAGGTTGTGCAACACCTTTAGTAAACACTTCCTGAATCAGAGTCAAGAATGAACCAGGGAGTTTCATTCTGTCTCGCTGGAGAGGAGGCAGGGACAGACCCAGCAGTGCCCATCTGAGCGAGAAGAGCAGACACTGTGCTCCTGGAATCATCCAGCATGTTGCAAGGTCTCCTGACGGTCAGTCTCCTCCTCTCTCCTGTTCCAGGTACGTGTTTAGCTCTTTTTCAGGTTCTATTGAATGCATTAGCGAACTTTTCATCATCTCCTAATAGTTTTATTGTATAAACTATCTTGACTTTTTTCTTTTTCTTTTTTCTCAACCAATTTTACTAACTAGTTGGGCTGGTTTTAACCTGTTGTTTGGGGGCTGTGAGTGATATAAAGACAATGTTAAAAAGAGGCAACAAGAGGTCTTGAACCAATATGTATGCATCTCATCTGATAATATATAGAAATAAAAGGGACAATTTCATACAGCACAATTTAAATAATGAATATGAGTTCTGGCTGAAAAAGTGAAATTAATAAAACCCAGCTTGTCATTTAAAGAATGGTAAAGATGTGGCAGATTTGACTATTACTGTGTACAAGGCTTAGGAAAATACCTGCTATTATTATGGGAGCCAGTTTGGCTCTTTCTGCTTGAGTGTATATTTTTGTATTTATTCATTATTAGTAATAATAAATGTGACTAACTGGAAATAATTAACTATTTTTTTAAATTTATAAGGTATTATGATATTACGTAACAAAACAATATTGCTATTAAGCTTAACTTGATAATTTACTTTTATTTTGCTGGTTATATCAAACATTTAAAAATTTGAAAGGAGAAAAATACTACCTTCGCAACAAGAAATTGTGTCTAGCAAGTCTCTCAATTTCTGGTAAATTCTCTAATTAGATTTTGGTTAAATTAGATTGGGTATCGTGATTCTTCAGCTTATTTCTATTTCCAGAGCTTATTTAACTCAGCACATGAACTGCAGTGCCTCAAATTCCTCCCCAGTAAACCTGTTTGTGGGTCTTAGAATGTTTGCTGGGACCTGGGGATGGGAACAGATTATCAGCTAGAGGTATGGGGCTTAGGGAGGGAAAACTTTCCCTTGTCCATGCACCCTCTTAGTACTTTGTTGCTAAAAATGATTTTCCTGCTTCTGACTTGTTTTTGATTTGTTTTCAAGACTTATAAAAATTTCATCTAACCTAATATCTTTACTTATCTGATTATTTTCCATTTCTGTATATTTTTGCTTCTATATGTTTTTGTTTGCACTCACTTTTAATATGTACCTATATCTGAACTGAACCTTTTACCACTGTGCAGTGATCCTCTTCATCTCTAATGCCTTTTGCTTTGATATCTATTTTGTCTGATGTGAACGTGTTACACCAGCTTTCTTTTGGTAAAATGAGCCTGAAATATTAAAAAAAATAAAACTGATGTCAGGCATTTAATATTGACCTGAAATTCCTACTTTTTGAGTCAAACTTAATAGAAATATTTTTTCTCTCCATTCTCCAAGACTGCTATCACCAACAGCTTTTCGGGAACCGGCTCTTAGCTGAAATACAAGAACTGCTTGGGCACTAGCTTTGTTGAAGAGCATAAAGATCAAGCTGGGCCGGGTGCGGTGGCTCAAGCCTGTAATCCCAGCACTTTGGGAGGCCGAGACGGGCAGATCACGAGGTCAGGAGATCGAGACCATCCTGGCTAACATGGTGAAACTCCGTCTCTACTAAAAATACAAAAAATTAGCCGGGCGTGGTGGCGGGCGCCTGTAGTACCAGCTCCTCGGGAGGCTGAGGCAGGAGAATGGCGTAAACCCAGGAGGCGGAGCTTGCAGTGAGCTGAGATCCAGCCACTGCACTCCAGTCTGGGCCACAGAGTGAGACTCCGTCTCAAAAAAAAAAAAAAGATCAAGCTGGATCCATTAACAGACTCGCATGGCTAACACTGGGTCCCATGCACATTACAGCCCTTCTGCGCAATTGGGCACACCAATCGGTTCTGCTGCCCTGACGGTGCCTGTACAACATGGCACCAAGAGACACACCTTCCTCTGATTCACGCCTAGAAGTGTGACCCCACCTCTCCTTTAACTTCCAGCTTGTATTTTTTTAAGGGTGTCTTTTTTTGCCACTGAACTATCCCTGTTATGATTCCCATTTGGGTGGCCTTTCTAGTCAGAATCTAAGAAGTAAAGCAATTTTCATTTCCCACCTCTTCCTCTTTGTTCTCTGCCCCTGTCATCAAAGCAATAAATATATGCCCCTCTGACCACGACTTCTGCCCAGTTCCCAGACGGCTGACATAAAAGGAGGAGATGTAAAATAAGGCCGGTTGTATGTAGTGAACTTCACAATCCCCTGAGAAAAAATGACTTACGGGATTTCATCCTACAAAAAGGAAAAGCAAATATTTAAAAGGATGTGACAGGTGTTTGCGGGGTGAAGATGTAAATGAGTGCATCAATAAAGGAGAAAGGTCTTTACCTTATTACAGTAGAATACCTGGGGGTACAGCAATTTTGAAATTATTTTATTTCAAACTACCAGTTATTCCTTGCCTTTATAAGGTGACTAGAAGACTGAAAAGGATATATACAATTTAATCAAAATAGTCAAAATAATAGACCTAATTGAAATGCAGTTTTTTTCCTTTTGTTTGTACTCACTTTTAATGCATGAAGTTTAAAACCACAAGATGGATTGAGGAGATACAGAGAATCCGAGAACGTAAGTCAATATCCTTGTGTAAACCCTAATTCAGCATTTAATGTGATGTGTTCAGTTTGGAAAGAAGACATTTCTTTGAACAGTTTCAAACACATTTGAACAAAAATGAAAATGTCGATATTACATACTAATGTTCCCATTTCCAAAATGACCCCAAACACATGAACAAATAATGAAGCAATCCAGACTAATGTTGATCATATTAATGTTGTTAATGAGCTTTGGTTTTTCTAAAACTCAAAACAGTCAAAAATAATTATCCAATCTAAACCAAAATAACAGTTTTCTTTTTCCTGATCTGGTTTTGCTATTCAAGACTAATCCAACATGTGAGTTCTGTGGGAGAGAGAAGGCAAGTATTAAAATGAATTAATAGAAACATATTGTGTTACACCCTGGATTTGTGTAATCCCTGGATGGCAGTTGGTTGTGTTTGTTCCTCAGGCTTCAAAATAATTAACATGATGTTATTCAGTGGGGATGAGACTGCACCATCTCCATTAAACTTGAAGGCGGATGAGCTAAACAATATTTAAGTCTGTTACCTCCCTACAATGGCTGTGTAATTTCTTGTATTCCAGATCTCATTATCTCAGGGACTTTTAGGTTTCCAGAAAATGAGAGCCTTTAAGAGAAATCCTATTTGGTTTCTTTAGAGAATATATGGAGTGGCAAGAGTTTGGAAGGAGCTGGAATTCCATTCACTTCAAACTGAACAGAGATTGAGAGGTTGCCAAAGACTTTTAAAAGAAATGCTGTGGGTTTTTGTTGTTGTTGATTTTGTTTTGCTTTGCTTTGTCTTTGATTTCCATTTGGAAGTGGTTCATCCACCAAAAAGTTAGTAAGAAATTTTATAACTAACTTACATATTTTGAGCCCATAGTTAAGAGCTAGTTTGCAATTTCTGATTTCATGAAACATTAGGATTCAGATACTAACCAGAAGCATGGAGGTCAGTGTGCATGTGAGAGAAAATTTGTGTTGGCTAGATGGGCCTGTTTTCCTTCTCACCATTTCTGAATGGTGTTGAGAAGGAAACTCACTTCATTTTCTGCTTTTATACAAAAAATCAGGAACACAACTTTTATTTTATTCCATGAAGGCAGCTTGGACTAGTATTTCCTGTTAGAATCATGTGTGTTCTAATATAGCATTTTAAAAGATTTGTGTTGGCTGCAACATTGGTGAAATTTGGCTTTGCTAACTATCTTTAACAAGACTACTCGCATTGATTAGCTACTGTAATCTACCAGGCAGCATGTTGGTGCCTTATGGTGTGCTTGTTTTGTGTCCCTAAATTAAGGAGGCAGCTGGGAATTGTGTCAATACCATCAGTTAATTTCTGGCAGGAGTAATTTTCTTACCTCTTGGCATCTTACAGTTTCAAAATAATTACAATAATTAGAAAAATTTTAACTCAGAAAAAGAATCATCAATTTAATATTTATTTAGGTTTTCGAACTTATGTTTCAAAAATTTTTTATAATTGATGTTATTCTTTTCCTTTACCAAAAGTTAATTTAATAGAAATCAAAGATGCCCAGGGATTACCTCTGTGAGAGCAAGAAATGAGGAACTGAAGAACCTCGTGATGTTGTTCTTGAAGTGTGACAATGTAATGAGGCTTATTTTATCACAATGGATCAGAATTCAGCTATCCTAATGATCACTGACTCTTCAAAGAGGTTATAGGGGATTCTGTATTTATTTGCATAAATCATAAACCACTTGAACTAGCTTTAGAAACCATTTATTCGGCCTCCTTTCTTCAAACTATTTAAAGACTCAAACCAAATAAAAAAATAAGGTACTGTCAGTGCCATGCCTTTAAGTAATTTTGATATTTTTTAGAGTAACTCTTAAGCCACTGAGAGAAAAGATAGTTCATTACTTTAACACTCTTTTTGACTCGAAGAGTTCTTAGCTGGTTTAAACCCTTTTTCTGTTCTTCAAAGTTAAATACAAGTGACTCTTCAGTCATTAAATGAAATAAAGCCATTCTCAAATGATTAACAATAATAACACTAGTTTTTGAAAGTTTATGCTTTAGTTTCTGAAGAAAACTTTAAACAATGTTTTGCTCTGTGGTCAATGACTGGAGTAAGAGCACAGCCCTCCTAGGTAAGCAGTAAGTAATACTTAAGTGCTTCAGTTATGTTTGTTAAAAGATCAACCACAGTAACATAAATGTATCTCACCATAGAACTTTAAGATTTGAGTACTCTGAGCTAGGATTACCTTTAGAGACCCTCCTAGTCCTTACTCAGAGAAGAGAACAAAACCTTCTCAGTTCCAGTCTTATAAAGTTGTAGAGTTAGGCCCCATTCTGCTATTTTGGTTAAGCCTGTAGCCACCTTTAGCAGTTAAGGAGCAGGTCTATTGACCTCATGCAGAACAGAGACTAGACCACATGGGCAAATCAAAAAGAAAATAGAAAATCTAATGTTAGCTTTGACAAAATTGAATCTCTCTCTAAAATGAGTTCCAGGCCGGGTGCCGTGGCTCATGCCTATAATCCCAGCAGTTTGGGAGGCCAAGCCAGGAGAACTGCTACAGCCTGGGAGTTCAAGACCAGCCTGGGCAATATAGCGAGACCTCTTCTCTAATAGAAAAAAAAAAAAAAAATAGCCAGGCATGGTGGTGCACACCTGCAGTCCCAGCTACTCTGGAGGCTGAGGTGGAAGGATGGCTTGAGCCCAGGAGGTTGAGGCTGCAGTGAGCCGTGTTTGTGCCACTGCACTCCAGCTTGGTGACAGAGTAAGACCTTGTCTCAACAAAGTAAAAAAAAAAAAAAAAAAAAAAAGACTTCTAAAGACAACATAGAGAGGAGCATTTAAGATGCAGACAGGTTGGATCAAATCACTTTTCAGTTCTCTTTCAGTATGACTTGCAGGCTCAAAAAAGTCCTTCCAGGCCAGTGATTCTGTTTGAATTATCTGCTTCTCTAATTTTCATTTTTTAAATGTTTTGTATGCAAAACATGAAGGTTTTTCTGCATTGCTTTTGCCAGCTCATTCTATGAACCTAGTATTGGAGCCTTTTCTTACTGTGACATAATTTTATTTCACTAGTATAAAACATTGCTGTTTTCAAATCCAAGAAAAATAGAATTAAAATTGTGTACATTAGTTATTTTTTTCTAACCTTGTATGGTTTCCAGTGCTTTAATGCAATTTTTCTGGGACTGATTAGCTTCTCAGAGGATTACTTTCGCTTCTGTCTTCATTTTTTTGTTTTTGTTTTTTGGCTGGGCTGTTGCTATTTCCCTGCACTGCAGGGATCAAAGATAATGAGAAGTGGCAAAATCCAAAAGAAATACTTTCTCTAAATACAGTAACACTTGTAAACTTTTAATGGGGGACGTATCTGAAGATACAGGTTAAAGTAAAACGTTAAGAGGAAAGAGTAGCCTTCTGAGGTTGTCGCTCTCTGCTGGTGTCAGCCCATTAATAACTCTGACATTCGTCACTTCAGGCTTCTGTGTGTGGTATCGTTCATTGGGAATGCAGTAAGGATGGCCATTACTGACCAGCCTACTTCAGTTTTACCTGGATAAGTCTTTTTCTTTTTTCTCAGTAAGTGCTATAAAAGAACTCCCTGGGGTGAAGAAGTATGAAGTGGTTTATCCTATAAGACTTCATCCACTACATAAAAGAGAGGTCAAAGAGCCAGAGCAACAGGTACAGCTTTTGATTTATCAAAGAATCTTGATTTGAGATATACATATACACACACACATATACACACATATGTATACACATATATACATGTGTGTATATATATATATCTATGATGAGAGATAGAGATTTATACGTGTGTGTTTATATATGCGCATGTGTGTGTGTGTGCCTGTGTGTGTCAAGTGGAATTTGTGATGTTTTCGGCAATTACACCTTGGAGTTAAATAACAATGATTATATTGTATTTCTTTTTGACGTTTTAAAAAATCTTTACTATAACCCAAAGTTATATTATTAACCTCATTCTACAAATCAAGTTTCTAAGAAGTGAAAGAAACTAACTGTCCAAGGTAACAAAGAGAGCAAATGTTAAATTTTTTTGAGACGGAGTCTCGCTCTGTCGCCCAGGCTGGAGTGCGGTGGCGCAATCTCGGCTCACTGCAAGCTCCACCATCCGGGTTCATGCCATTCTCCTGCCTCAGCCTTGAGTAGCTGGGACTACAGTGGCCTGCCACCACGCCCGGCTAATTTTTTTGTATTTTTAGTTGAGATGAGGTTTCACTCTGTTAGCCAGGATAGTCTCTATCTCCTGACCTTGTGATCCGCCCGTCTCGGCCTCCCAAAGTGCTGGGATTACAGGCGTGAGGTACGGCCTGGCCGTAAATTTAATATTTTATGATGATTTATTCTATGTACTTCCAAAGAAAATTGGATTCTATCTATCTATCTCTCTATCTCTCTATCTATCCATCCTTCTAAACACAACTATGACAATTGAAACAGAAATAGGAAACAAAATACAGCAGGCGAATGCATGTATACACGCACATTAACATGAAATTTATCTGTCTTTTCTGAACAGACTCTTTTTAATGTTTGTACATTTCTTACTGCAAATGAAACAACATATTCTCAGTGAACATTCACTCAATAAACATTTATTAATTCTAAGAAAAGCTAAAACATGATGATTCATTCAATTATAACAATGTTATAATTACCTGCACTCTTAAGTCTTCTTCTGGGAGCCAGGAAGATACAGATAAATGGGACACAAATAATAGTTTACAGAAATACTCTGAAATCCAGCACACTCGGTGCACATATTCCCTCACTGTACGTGATTTTCCATAGCATTTCTTCTAAAGCAAATTTATGACAACAGAACCTGTATTTGACCCCATTTCCTAAAATAATTATTAACCAAATGGTTTCACTAAGTTCAGATGGAACCCAAATGCATTGGATTCCCCTTCAATATGACTTTCTTCAAGTGCCTTCTAAGAGTTTCTTTAAAATGTCAGACACCTTTTTTCCTGTAGTGCATTATGGTTATTATCTGGGTGACAAAGTAATCTGTACACGAAATCCCCATGACATGCGATTTACCCGTATAACAAACTGGCACAGGTATCCCCTGAATCTAAAATAAAAGTTGGAAAAAAATATAACGATTTTTAATATATCTTCATATTTAGTCCTTTCAACAACCATATAACATAAGTGTATTTTTACAGTATTTTATTTCTAAGTGGAGAGGTAGGGGCTCAGAAAGTTTAAGTACCCTGCCTAGGAGCACATAGCTTATACGTTTTAGAGCTTGGATTCAAACCTGTTTGACTCCAAATGACGACTTTATGTGTTAGTATTATTTGTGGCTGCCTATCCAAGCAGCCAAATTGATTTAACACGTGGGAGAGTCTGTATGTTCTCCTGAGAGCCTCTGTGGCATCAATAGAGGCTTTCTGGCCATGAAGGTAGCTCAGGTTCTGTTACACTGAAGTCTAAGAGTCAGTCTGTAATCCTGAGACACTGACCAGTTTGTTGTATCATTTACTGTTAAAAATAAGAGACTCATCAGCCGAATTTTTTCTAATAACTTTTTATCTTTTTTAAAATTCTATTTTAAGTTCTGGTATACATGTGCAGGATGTGCAGGTTTGTTCCATAGATAAATGTGTGCCGTGGTGGTTTGCTGCATCAATCAACTCATCACCTAGGTATTAAGCCCAGCATGCATTAGCTATTTCTCCTGATGCTTTCCCTTGCCCTGCCCCCTACCACACCTCAGAGTATGTTGTTCCCCTCCCTGTGTCCATGTGTTCTCATTGTTCAGCTCTGAATTGTAAGTGAGAACATGCAGTGTTTGGTTTTCTGTTCCTGCATTAGTTCGCTGTGGATAATGGCTTCCAACTCCATTCATGTGCCTGCAAAGGACACAATCCTGTTCCTTTTTATGGTTGCATAGTATTCCATGGTGTATATGTACCACATTTTCTGTATCCAGTCTCTCACTGATGGGCATTTGGGTTGATTCTACGTCATTGTTATTGTAAATAGTACTGCAGTTAACATGTGCATGCATGTATCTTTGTAATAGAATGATTTATATTCCTTTGGGTATATACCCAGTAATGGGATTGCTGGGTCAAGTGGTATTTCTGGTTCTAGGTCTTTGAGGAATTGCCACACTCTCTTCCACAATGATTGAACTAATGTACATTCCCATCAACAGTGTCAAAGCGTTCCTATTTCTTCACAGCCTTGCCAGCATCTATTGTTTCTTGACTTTTTAATAATCGCCATTCTAACTGGCGTGAGACAGTATCTCATTGTGGTTTTGATATGCATTTCTCTAAGGATCAGTGATGTTGAGCTTTTTTCATATGTTTGTTAGCTGCATGAATGTCTTCTTTTGAGAAGTGTCTGTTCATGTCCTTTGCCCACTTTTTAATAGGGTTGTTTTTCTTGTAAATTTAAGTTCCTTGTAGATTCTGAATATTTGACCTTTCTCAGATCGATAGATTATAAAAAATTTCTCTCATTCTGCAGGTTGTCTGTTCACTCTGATGATAATTTCTTTTGCTATATAGAAGTTCTTTAGTTTTATTAGATCCTGTTTGTCAATTTTTGCTTTTGTTGCAATTGCTTTTGACAATTTGTCATGAAATTTTTGCCTGTGCTTATGTCGTGAATGGTATTGCCTAGATTTTCTTCTAGGGTTTACATTTAAGTTTTTAATTTATCTTGAGTTAATTTTTGTATAAGGTGGAACGAAGGGATCCAGTTTCAATTTTCTGCATGTGGCTAGCCAGTTCTCCCAGCACCATTTATTAAATATGAAATATTTTTTTCCCATTGCTTGCTTTTGTAAGGTTTGTCAAAGATCAGAGGATTATAGATGTGTGGTCTTATTTCTGACCTCTCTATTCAATTCTATTGGTCTATGTGTCTGTTTTGTACCAGTACCATGCTGTTTTGGCTACCGTAGCCTTGTAGTATACCTTGAAGTCTGGAAGTATAATGCCTCCAGCTTTGTTCTTTTTGCTTAAGATTGTCTTGGCTATACAGGCTCTTTTGTGGTTCCATATGAATTTTAAAGTAATTTTTTCTAATTCTGTGAAGGATGTCAATGGTAGTTTAAGGGAAATAGCGTTGATTCTCTAAATTACTGTGGGTAGTATGGCTATCTTCACAGTATTGATTCTTCGTATCCATGAACATGGAATGTTTTTCCATTTGTTTGCATCCTTTCTGATTTCCTTAAGCAGTCGTGTGTGTTCTCCTTGAAGAGGTCTTTTACTTCTCTTGTTAGCCATCAGCTCGAATTTCACAAGTTCACTTGTATTTTCTGTGTCATCAACCTTTTGCTACTAAACCAGTGATTAATTGTGTCTTTGTGGAAATTTATACTAATTATCTACTCTTTATGTGTTTTTGACTCACAGTAAACAACGCTTCCAAGAAAAGCCAACATTTACTTACACACGCATGCACGCACACACACCAAACACCCTTTTTTCAATGAACATTTTGAGGAAAATTTAAACACAGGTGAACTGTTCTTAATCAGAGCTGTAAAATGATTTCCTCACAACTGAAAAAATAAATTTGAGCTTTGAATAATATATTTTGATTAACAAAAGCCATAGACTAGTTACTGGCTCATACTAGATGAAAAATATTAATTTTTGCAATGATTGACTAGGTGGATGAGGTTGATATAATGTGCTTAATATTTATTGTGTTTATATTACTTATCTAGTCCATTACTAGGTTAAATGGCTACATGAACCTTACATTTTCCTGATCCACAGTGCAAGTATATAGGATCTGAATTCAGAGGATTAGTTTGTGTTCACCTGTAAATTTTGTCCATTCTCTCTGTATAAATTTAGACAAACATAAATGTTAGGTTTCTTGTCTTAAAATAGAGATGATCATAATAATACTTATACAAATATTTTGGAACAATGTATATGAAAAGCAAGGAAGGATCCAAATTTTAACTCCCTATTCAAGATTATGCTATGGGCTGGGTGTATTGGCTCACGCCTGTAATCCCAGCACTTTGGGAGATTGAGGCGAGTGGATCACCTGAGGTCAGGAGTTCACGAGCAACCTGGCCAACGTTGTGAAACCCGTCTCTACTAAAAATACAAAAAATTAGCTGGGTGTGGTGGTGGGCATCTCTAATTCCAACTACTCAGGAGGCTGAGACAGGAGACTTGTTGGAACCCAGGAGGCAGAGCGTGCAGTGAGCTGAGATCACGCCATTGCACTCCAACCCGGGCAAGAAGAGTGAAACTCCATCTCAAAAAAAAAAAAAAAAAAAAAAAGAGAGAGAGAGAGACAGAGAGAGATTATGTATTATGTTATGGTGCTGCCCTATGTAGACCATCATATTCCATTTCTTATGGCTAATTTTCAGTTTTTGTGGCTTCATGTCCCAGTTAATAAACCTTTATTTTAAAATTCTTCTTTTTGACATAAACTGTCAACCTTGGTTTTTCTTAATAATATGCTTGTTTCTACTTCTATGCTTTTCTTAATGGATTTCTTGCTACTTAAAATACTCTCTCTACATTTAGAGTCCCTCCCATTTAGGGGACTCTACATTTAGTGTCTCTTATAGTCTTTGTCAAGCCAACTTGCCATATTCCTATATACACGAATACGTCCCTATCCTGAAATCGTGCATCAGTCACAGTCAGTATTAT